TCAATATAAATGAAGAGAAGATCATTTGATGGTCGGTTTGCATGGAAAGATTGATTGTTGTCACGAATCATCAATCGGATTGATTTGAAATGATTTCGTATTGTAGGTTCTGATTATTGATTAAATCATTTGATAGATCGTTTGGTCCATTGCTTACTACAACTACTACTATTATTGTTGTTGTTGCTGTGGATGTTGTTGCTGCTATTGTTACTTCTCTCTTTCTCCCCTACCATTCATTCATTGATTCCAAACCATCAAAATCGATAACAATATTCCTTGTCAACAAAAGAAGAAATGGAATCAATGAAAGCAAAGAATCAAGTGTTTCCTTTATGACAATCAATGATCCATTAATCTATGAATGAATGAATAATTGAGTGAGTGAGTAATGAAGGAAAACAGAATGAATGAATGAATAAGAAGGAAAAACAATGTGTGTCATATGATATCGGATACTGGAAGGTAGGGGAGAAAGATGGGATGATGATGATTCAACTTCATTGACACTTCGAAGTAACAATGAATTGATTCTTAATGATTTGCTTTGGATCTTCCAAGTCTAACATCACTAACTTCTGTATAATGGAGTTTCTGTTGTCCTCGTTTTGGTGACATTGGAAAGTGGATCTAAATATTGAATAGAGATGGTAAATAGATATTCCAAATCTGTTTCAAAATGTCAATCTACTTGTATCATTGGGGTATGTTCAATCGAAATCGATTCGAGTATTGTTGATAAATAGAATGGAATTGATTTCATATGATTTTCATAGATTTCAATTCCATTTGGTAAGTTTAAGCTTATCTTATCTTATCTTGTTAGGTGATTTGATTTGATTTGATTCATTGTGTTTCATTCGATTCCGTTTGATCATTTGATTTGATTTGATTTGATTTGATTCGTTTAATAGGAACATATTTCGATTGATTATGATTGGAACAATTCTATCTGGTTCATTTTACAATGATCTGTGGAATTTGTATTGTTGTTTCAAACTTATGGCACATGATTGATTCTATGATTGGTTAAAATGGATATATAATAATGATAATGATAATGATGAACATAAAACAAACAGAAATAAGCAAAACAAAACATGGAACAATCCAAACAAATAATCACATATTTCCTTATGAGAATTGAATCAATAAGAATCGACACAATCCAATTTGTCTGGTGGATAGTGAATAATAAGATGAATGTCAGAATATAAAAAAGGAATAATAAAGAAAAAGAAAATACAAAAAAGAAAAACTAAATACAAATTAGAATCATATAATACAAAACAAAAAGAAAAAGAAAAAGGAATAAAATGTACAAATATAAGAAAATAAGAAACAAAGAAAACGAAAGAATAGCAAAACAAACAAGAATAAACTAAAAATCAAAATCGAAAATGAAATAATAAAATGAACTACAATCAATTCCAAAAGTTGAAATACAACAACAACAACAACAAATGAAAAATGGAATAATCAAAAATAGATAAGCAACATCAAAACAAAAAGAAAACAAAAACAAAAGAATAATGAATCATTGAGTATTATTCAAATGAATACTATCTCAACAAACAAATATGGATTGTGTCGATTCCTATTGATTCAATTGGATTAAGTGCAATGAATCTTGTCAAAACGATTCGATTGAAGTCGTTCGATCAAGATTCATTCGAAATATGTGATTTGTGAATTCATCGGTGTTAAATCACAAACAGCATATTGAATATACAATCAAACAATGGATTCCAAGAAAGGCCATTATCGAAATACTCATATTCAAACCACAACACAAATGGTTCTCACAATATGCCTCATTATTGTATTGTGATTATCAAATGCTGATTTCATATTGACTTGTTCGAATGGGATTCAATGATTTGAATGATATCAATAATAATAATAATGATAATGATAATAATGATCAGAAAGAAATAAGAGTATTGTTATGCAATACAGTACAATGATAGATTCCAGCTAATACAATGATCGAACATAATGATTTCATGAATCTCGATCGATTCAATTGCAAAACAACCATTGAGACTACAATGTGTTTGAGTGATTGTTCCATTTGGATTCGATCGAATCAATTGTATAATTCTATCAGTCGATTGGATCGCTATCAATGAATCATTCGATCGATTCTATATCATTGATAATCGAACAAATACAAATACTACTACTACTACTAATAATAATAATAATAATCACAAGGATTGATGGTTGAATACTCATCATCAATTTGATTCTGATTCTGATTCTGATTGATCGATCCTATCCAATCATTCTATTCATGATCAACAATACCAAAGTGATCTAATGGTATTCAATATGCTGAAATAGACCGATGAATAATGTGGATGATCATACAATCATTATAATAATGATAATAATAATGATGATGATGAATGGAGATCGAAAACTAACCAAATACACACCATCCATTCAATCATTCATTCAATGGATCAATGGATTGAACAGCCTTTCTATTCTTATCAGTATTATTGATTGTGAATGATGAATTGATTCTTTACGATATTCAACATTCATTTGCATTTTGAATCAGCTATCTTTCATCCATTGATTGATTGATTGAATGATTGAGTGAATGGTTTGTGTGATATTGAAGAATACGACATTCCATCCAAATATCGAATTGTGAAACCACGATTGATATTACTACGTACTACAACTTTCAAGTATCAAACACATCCGATTTGATATTATTATTGTCAAATTGATAAATCCATGTTTTGTGACTCATTGATAAACAAACAAACAAACAAACAAATGAGTGATAGTTGGATTGATTGAATGGTGAATCCAATATGATTTCCAATGCTATTCATTCGGATTCTATTCTATTCTATTCTATTCTATTCTATTCTAGTTTCATTGCCTTGTTTTATCCATTTCACCTCTATTTGATTCTATTCTATTCTATTCTATGTATACAGTGATCGATTCCTATTCAATAAGTCAAAATCAATATCCTAATTCAATATCAATCATTCTATTGCATTGTATTGTATTATCTACCGATTTAACAATGGATTCACAAATGTGAATAATCATCCAATATCAATCGATTCCAACCATTCCATTGTGTCACTAGCAAATCCAATCTTATTATTCACGATGATTATTCATGATAATGATAATTCGAAGCAAGCAGTTTCCTATCAATATTGAACAAATCCTAGTTCAAACCTATTCAAACCATCATTTGTATATTATTATTATTATTATTGGTAGATTGAATTCATCATTTGTGAATGTTCAATATGTGATCATTGGCTCATTGGTAATAATAATAATGATGATCGAAAACAATGATTGATTGATTGATTGAAACAACAATCAGAATTCAGTATCATTGTTAAAATGGTAAAGAAGAACATCATAATAATCAGGTAGGATTGATATTTTGATAATTATAGAATCATGAATTGTGATCAAGAATCGGTTTCAAACAAACAAACAATCAATCACTCAATCAATCAATGGAAATGTTCCTAAACAATGACGAATCACTGAACAATTCAAATCAAATCAAAATTATAGATTGAATGCTTGATTTAGTGGACATAATTAGCGAGAATGGAAGAAACATCTATGAATCAAATCAAATCAATCAAACTATACTCGAAATTGATTTCGATCGAACATGTCGGAATGAATAAGGTAGCTTGACATTTCGAAGATTTGGAATATCTAAATACTATCAATATTCAATATTCAGAAATACTTTCTAATGTCACTACACGAGAATCATAGAAACTATAATCTACAGAAGTTATTGATGTTAGATTTGGAAGATCTACAAGACAAATCATAACCAATCAATTCATTATTACTTCGCATTACCAATGAACAAGAATCATCATCATCACTTCCTTGAAGTGCATGTTCACCGAGTTGAATGGATTGTAATGATGGAAGATCTACATCAATCATTTCATTCCAATTCATTCAATACTTTCAATTATTGTTGATAAGGAACCACCGAATGCACTATAACCTAATGTAATGGATTGTAGATTTGGAAGATCTATACATCATTCAAATATTCAATATCATATCAATACCTCGAATCACAAATGAACCATAGAGGAAATTGCATGAATAACTTCCAATTGTACCAATCTGAATGGACTGTAATTGTGGTAGATTCTTCAATTCAAAGTCGCCAGCATAATCACTGAAACTGAATTGACCAATTTGAATGGATTCCAATGATTCACAATTCAATATGTGGAATGATTTTGATTTGTCATCTCCCCAATCATTCTTTTTCTGCGTAAATGAATTGCTTCCGATTTTGATAGTTTTCAATCGATTCAGTCCATCAATTTTGAATGTTTGCACTGATTCAAAACAATTATCCCCAATTTCGATTGATTCAACTAGAGTAAACCGCGAGAAATCAAATATTGTATATTCAATATCATTACAGGTCCAATCGGGAAGAATTATTGATGTAGTGGATGAATCCATTGATTGAATGAAATCGAAGTAATAGACTTTAGGAAATAGTAGTTCAGAAACATCTAAAATCAACTGAAAATATGAATAGTTACTGTTGACAATTGGATGATGAACTTTCTGGAATGAACCAGGTAGTTTGACATTTTGAAGATTTGGAATATCTAAATACTATCAATATTCAATATTCAGAAATACTTTCCAATGTCACTGCACGAGGATATTCGAAACTACCTCCTTTAGAAGTTATTGATGTTAGATTTGGAAGATCTACAAAACAAATCATAACCAATCAATTCATTATTACTTCGCATTATCAGTGAACAAGAATCAACCAGTGGACTTCCTTGAAGTGCACATGTACCGAGTTGAATGGATTGTAATGATGGAAGATCTACAACAATCATTTCATTCCAATTCATTCAATACTTTCCATTATTGTTGATAAGGAATACTCGAATGCATCATAACCTAATGTAATGGATTGTAGATTTGGAAGATCTATACATCATTCAAATATTCAATATCATATCAATACCTCGAATCACAAAGGAACTATCTTGAAAATTGCGTGAACCACTTTCAATTGTACCAATTTGAATAGATTGTAGTTGTGGTAGATTCTTCAATTCAAAGTCGCCTCCAAAATCAACGAAACTGTATTCACCAATTTGAATGGATTCCAATGATTCACAATTCAATATGTGGAATGATTTCGATTTGTTGTTTCCATACCAGTATTCATTCTGAGTGAATGACTTGATTCCGATTTTGATCGTTTTCAATCGATTCAATCCATCGATTTGGAATGTTTGCACTGATCCAAAACATTCATCGCCGATTTCGATAGATCGTAGCCACTCGAATCGATTCAGATCCAATGCATTCAAATCGTTACAGCAATTCGATGAAATCTTCAAATCGGTCACTTGCAAACTCACATCGGTCCATTTTGTAGATCCAGTGACGCTGAATCGAAGAGGAGCAGGTTCTTCGCGTTTTGGAGCAGGAGCAGGAGCAGGAGCAGGAGCAGGAGCAGACATCGGAGCGGGTTTGGGTTTGGGTTTGGGTTTGGGTTTGGGTTTGGGTTTGGGTTTGGGTTTTGGAGTTGTGGATCGAGTGTACCATCCATCATAGAGATCTCTTCCACTCACTTCCACTCCATCTTTCCATTCCACTTCGCGAGTAGCAATCCGAGTTTCTTCATCGATCCAGTATCCTCGACCATTTCGAAGAAACGATTCTTTCGATTCATCATACACGAATTCACCCACAAACAGGGGAATTCGATTCGAAGCGATGGTATTGTCACCGTTTCGCTTGAACTCCGTCATAATAGTTCCTTCGATCTTGCGGATGATCTCCACAAGCTTGTTTCCCTTCCATATTCCCTCGAGCAGCATGGCACCCGTTTTATCGTCATATTGGATGCCCCATCCTTCTCGTTCTCGCTTCTCGTTGAACTCACCGTGATAAATCAGGTGATCACTTGCATGCGAATAGATTTCCATACGCTCGCCTCGGACATGGTTTATAATACGATAAAAATCATGCTGATCCAGAATTTCGTCAAATGATTGGACAAAAGCGACACGTCCATTTTCGAATCGGGTAAAGTCGCCGATTTCGTTCTCGTCCGCATCCACCTCGTAACACATCTTCAGTATGCCATTTTGGAATAGGCAAACCTTACCAGCTCTCGTCAACGTGTATTCATCCTCGTGATCACCTTGATAATATTGGAGGCCATAGTTGCAGCCTCCAATAGTGATTTCCTTTGCTTCACCACGCGTTATGTAACCGTCCAGGAGAAATTCGCTTCCCTTAAGTTCTTGCATTCTACCTATTTATGATCACATATCCTTAGCCTCTACTCTTTGAATCCGTAATTTGTAGCCAAATATAAAGAATTTATGAAGAAAACAGAGAGATCAGTTTGTTTCCGTACACCTAAGTATTCTTCATATTTAAAAATTATGATAGAGTGCTACCATATACACATTGGATCCAAGATTTCCAAGTGAAGTACTCACTTGTGTTTCGCATCATTTTGTTCACATTTTTGTGGTTGAAATAGTTCGAGGTATAGATATTTATAATATTTATAATATCAGGATTGTTTGGAAACACTCAGAATGGAAAAGTCCATTTTGTTGTCTACTATGTCTGTATAGGTTGTATATTTATGATATCATAGTGAAATCGTGTTATGAAGCAAAAATTTGGTTGTTCACTCCACTTTGTCTAAATAGTCTATATTATCATTATTATTTCGATAATCCAATCTATCCATCCATGATTCTAGCCAAATCATTTTGACTTGGGAATGGTTGGGTTTGAAAGCAATTAAAACTAGTAAAACTAGTAAATCAAATCGAATGGAATGGAAATTGGTTTTGATCCAGCGATTTTCACACAAAGAACCTAGCTTCGCACATCGTTAACCATTCACTCCATTTTCTATCATTTCCTTATCCTAAACCAACCAACTAACTCTAAATACACTTTCTTTCTTTCTTTCTTTCTTTGTTTCAACTATCAACTCACAGCACTCTATTATTATTATTATTATCAACTAGAGTCGTTTGGTTCCTCGTTCTGGATTATTCTGTTCATGTTTCTAAATCATTCCAACACCCTACACACTCTAAATCTACATTTTCCTTCTTTCCTTCCTAAACACATTTTCGATTCTCATTCAAATCCTACAACGCTTCAACCATTCCACATCTCTACAATTCCATCCATCCATCCATCCATCTTCCAAACCAAACACCGCAACCATTTCTCTCTTTCTCTCTCTCAGCAACTGCCAAATCGGTCTGGATCGTGGAAACGTGGAAACATCGCGACCCACGGCGCACCAGGCGTGATCGACGAGGTGGGCGCGGATGAGCGCGCCGGTCACGTCGTAGGCGAAGAGGAAGCGGAAGCGGAGGCGGAGGCGGAGGCGGAGGGGCTGGGTGACGGAGACCACGGTGGCGTTCTGCGCCCAGTTGGACAGGAAGAGATCCAGAGAGCCCGGTCGACTCTGCACACCTTCGTAGGGAGCCACGGACCCCACCCCATCGCCCACCAGATTCCTGCTCACTCACACCCACACCCACACCCACACCCAGAGCGAACCGGTGAGCGAGGAGGTTGGCTCGCCGTCCACCACCAACACCCAACGAATTCCGACGTGGCCATCGTGGACACTCCGAATTGCCTGCCCATCCACTCGGCACTGCCCACTTCGCTCGGGACGCACTCCAGCGTGTAGGAAGTCGCGGGGATCCCACCCTCCAACACGTCCCACACATCGCGTCCCGCGGGGAACCAGACGGTTCGGCGGAAGGAGGAAGTCGCGGGAGCGCGAAGCTCGCACGTGGCGGTGCAGAGATCATGGAAGGATCCGGTAATCGCCATCGCACAGTCCCACTCAATGCCCTCCGCCTGATTCCACACACACCGCATACAGAACCGCGGGGATCTTCTATTGGCGGGAGAGATACCCGGTGAACGCGGACACGCTCAGATAGATGGGCGCGTGCTGCACGCTCTGCACGCTCTGCACGCTCATTGCACGCTCTGCACGCTCTGCACGCTCTGCAGGTCCAGGAAGCAGTTCGTGCTGGCGACCTCGCTCTCGCTCTCGCTCTCGCTCTCGCTCTCGCTCTCGCTCTCGCTCTGGATCACGGCCATCGACGCCATCCACGAGCGTCGCACCACGTAGTACCGAATGCTGGCGCCGCCCAGCTCCGCCGGCTCTGCCCACTGCACGCGCAGCGAGGTCGAGGAGAGCGCGGCCACCTCGAGGTTCTGCACCGCGCCGGGCGCGACGACATACGCGGCGAGGGTGATGGGAGAGGAGGCCTCGGAGAGGATGGAGCACGCGGCGGAGCACAGCGCCACGCGCACCCAGTAGGCCACGCACGCATCGAGAGAGAGAGCGAGAAAGAGAGAGCTCGGGTTGCTGGACGTCGCCCTCTTGGAGGAGCGCGTCGGCGGCGAAGAGCTGGGAGTGGGAGCCAACCAAGGCCTGCACGAAGAGCTCGCACCACCACCAGACCCAGCGCACCTGCGTGGCTTCGAAGGCGGCAGCAGCACGACGGGCGCGGAGGGAGGCAGGCAGGCAGCAGCACGACGGGGCGGTAGACGGAGAAGGACGCGAAGGCGGACCAGGAGGCGCCCTTGCGGACACGCCAGCTGATGGCCATCACGCTGTTCACAATGGCGCCCGCCACCAACACGGAGCGCGTCTCGAAGAACTGGCTCTGCACATTGCTGCCCATCAAGGCCATCCATCGGGGCTTCATCGTAGATGCCACGGCTCCAGGGAACCTCCATCTGCACAGACACGCTGCGCTGCGCTGCGCCTACTCCACTTCCCTCATACCAATCGCGCTCTCCACAATCCGAGCAGGCCACAACCGAACGCCAACCGAACGCCAACCGAACGCCAACCGAACGCCAACCGAACGCCGGCGCGGGTCGAGAAGGTCGCGATGAGGGTTTCCGCGGGGAAGGGGAGGCCGTTTCGGGACACCAACCTGTTGGCATTGATGTAGAGCGTGCGTACCTTCGCAGAACCGCGGGAAGGAGCCATCGAAGGCGAAGGCGAAGGCAATGGTGTAGTCGGAGATGGAGATCGCGGTGGTGGGATAGGAGAACGTGGCCTCGGCCAATTCAAACACGATGTGCATGTTCATGGGCTCGAATGGATCGTTCATCACCTCGCCCACGCCCACATTGCTCGTGCAGTACATCGTGGATTGCTTCCCATCTCCCATCGTCCACAGCGCCACGTCCCTCGCCCCATCGCCCGCCACGCAGCGCAGCGCAGCGCAGCATCGGCAGGATGGGCTGACAGGAGCCCGTCCCCTATCGATCGATCGATCGATTCCCACTGCTGATAGGCGTTGCACCCATCCGTGATCATGCCCCACTAGTCCACATCGCACTTCGTATCCAACACTTGCCCCAAGTGCCCTTCCGGCTACCCCGCCACTTCGTCCGCGGGGCGCACCACCGCCACGCACCTCACCTCTCTTCCATTCCACCACTTCCCACACGCCCGCACCACGCACACCTCCACCTTCCCATGCTCCACAGACCCACAAATGCACAACTGCACCGTCTTGGAACTCGCCTGCTCCCACTGCCCATTCCAGTTCACTCGGCTCCCATCAATCAGAGGCGAGGACCGTACCCACAGCAGTTCCCATACTCCGCCTTCTTGTCCCATTCTCCCAAGTTCCACACACGCTCCGCTTCTACAAACCTACAGCTCTTGCTCCCATAGTTTGCCCTTTCACTCATCGCAAATCCGTTCTCTCTACCACACTCTACCACCTCACAATATGAAAATGAAAATACGAGAAACAGAACAGATATCCTAGGCAAGAACGTCGTGCCTGTACCAGATACCTCCCACGTTGCAAGTTATCTCCATGTATCCGCGGTCCCACATGGCATGAATGGGTTCGCCACGTTGCACAGTTTGAAGTACAGAAATTCTCACTCGGAGCACACTCCACACAGCAAAAATGGAACCAGGGTCCACCGCCATTATGGTATTGAATGCGTTCACGATGCATATTTCACACACACAGTTTAGTCAAAGTAACGATAGCGCACACTACACTAGCTTCTTCAAACACACCAACTTGACGACAGAACCCATCCCAGCTACAATACTTACACTCCCACAACACAACACACAAAAACACATAGAAGTCCGAAAACAAAACAAAAGACAGGACATACAAGTCCAATTCCAAATTTTGAATACATTCAAACCCAGTAAGACGAAGCTAATAGCTTTTATTGTAAAACAAATGATTTCAAAAATACACAGGAATTGTGCAATTGTGAAAATAGTGTTGAAATTGGGTATGAGTGGAAGAATAGATTTCGAATAGGGAGGGAGTTGTTTTTACTGTGAAGTGGAAGGAGATGAGCGGAAATGGGATATTGTGGAATGAATAGATCGAAGAGTGTTGTTTCCAGTGGAAGCGTTTTGTTTTTCGTTCTATTCATTTGGAATCTACTCTAGATGGGATAGAAAGAAATAGAGTATGTAGAAGATGATGATAGGAATGAAAATGGAAAAGCTAGCGATAAACAGTTTTTGGGTTATCATTTATAGTAATAATATGTGAAATGTGTATAATAGAATCGAATAATAGAGTTTGTGAGAAAGGTGGGTGTGTCGTTGAAGAACTGAGCAAAATAAGGTAGAATACATAATATATTTTATACGAACAAATAGAGATATATTCATATTCCACTGTTTCTAGGTTTTTGGATAGTTGGTGTCCAGTTTTTGTCGTTTTGATGCACTCTGAACCTATCAGAGTTTGTTATATTGCCAGAGAATACTATCCCTTATTCTAACCCATATAGTATCCCCCACCTGCCA